ATTATTATTATTATTATTATTATGATTATTATTATTATTGTTGTTGTTATTATTATTATTTTATAACATTTTTATTTGTTCTTTATTGTAATACAGTTTGTATAAATTTCATATAAAGTTTTTTTTCTAATATTATATATATATATATATATATATATATATATATATATATATATATATATATCAAAATTACAAAAATAGTCTTTATGGTTTGCCAAAAGTCACAAAGTCAGTCCCTGATAATTTTTCTTTACGAATATGGTATCTGTGGTTTCCAAAATTTGCATGAATAACCATTTTTTCTAACGTTGTATTATCCATAATTTGATTTTTATTAATAATTTTCATTTGTTAACTTAAAAAAAAAACTATTTTTACATGTTTATTTTTATATATTTATCGGTATAATTCAAGGTGGTTAACCTTTTATTTTGTTATTTTTTTTAAATTACATGGTTTTTTTATAAACTTTTCGGTTTAAATTCGACTTTGTTTACGTTTCGAACAATAAAAAATAACGATCACAAACAATTAAACAAAGAATAAAAGATATAATATGATATTTTTTCACAACTATAACAAATAAAATTATCATTTTCATTTACTACCGTTTCGTCAAACAATGTCATATTTTGATTTTATATGCACTACATGAATATTACAATTATTACGTGGTGCATTCGGTGGAATATATGCATTAAGTCGAGCATTATACAATATTTCCCATCCAGCGGCATGTTTTGATCTGTGGTGACGCCAAAGTAACAAAATTGTAGGCATTGGATATAATTCTTGTAAATCAACTTTTATGTAATAGCCATTATAAACGAAGACGATAACAATAGATCTATGATGTGAAATATCTTGCGGACCATGCCAATGTAGAAAACAGGTTGACGAACCTTGTTTGTCTAAAAAATAAACAATTACACCATACTTATTAGCGATGAGAAATCTGGTATCCGACATAATCAACCAATATCCACTTTGTGCAGAACCAAATCCAATGAAACTCAACGAGTGTTGTACGTTGTTAATATCATCCTGAAAAACCATTGAATATCGTCCCCAATTTTCTAATAACTCATTGTATAAGTCTGAGCGGATTTGACGCTAATAATTTTGACTATACCCGAGGGAGTCATCTATTGCTCGAAATCCACAATTTCCATCTCCGTCCGCATCTTCAATGTTTGTAACGTATGGATGAAATTCATTTGGAATTTCACTCATAAGTGAATTTGAATAAAATGTTGAAGGTTGTTGAAACGAAAATGTATTGTGCCTCTCTGTTCCTGGTTTACATCAAACTGATTAGACCCATTATAATTTGATATAGACGTCACAAAACGATGTCTACGAGGATATTGAGTCATTGGATCTTGAGTAAGCGGAACATTAGGTCTTGTATGTGTACTCAATCGTGGACGTCCACTTGGTACTTTGTTTTTGTGAGAAGTAGGTTCCCGAAGTGAAGTTGTTGATGGTGAAAAAATATCTTTTAACTTCCGCACCCAACTGAACTTATTAGATCTTGATTGCTTTTTCAACAGTGTGCTAGACGTTTGACATTCAACATCAACACCATCATCTTTTAGTCAGATGTAAATGTATGGCAAGTTAAAGGATCATAATTGTAGTAGTGTTTATATACACCGTACTAAAATAAAGATAGAGTGATTATTGTAAATGTAAGGTAAGTTAAAGGACCGTAAATGTAAATATAGTTATATTAATTTGATTTTATCGTATTGGTATTCATTTACACCGCACTAAAGTAAAGATAGAGTATTTATTGTAAATGTATGGCAAGTTAAAGGACCATAAATGTAAGTATAGTTATATTATTTTGATTTGATTGTAGTGGTATTCATTTACACCACACTAAAATAGAGATAGTGTATTTATTGTAAATATAAGGTAAGTTAAAGGACCATAAATGTGAATATAGTTATATTATTTTGATTTGATCGTAGTGGTATTCATTTACACCGCACTAAAATAAAGATATGGTATTTATTGTAAATGTATGACAAGTTAAATGACCATAAATGCAAGTATAGTTATATTATTTTGATTTGATTGTAGTGGTATTCATTTACACCGCACTAAAATAAAGATAAAGTATTTATCGTAAATGTAATGTAAGTTAAAGGACCATAAATGTAAATATAGTTATTAGTTTTGGCTAATACGAAATGGAATGATGATGTCAATTGCATATTGATGAAGATAAATGGAAGGGGTTGGGAGTGTTCTTAAGGACAAACCCATTGAAATTATATCCCTTAATTTTTCAATGTTTTTAGAAAGTTATAAGTTTAACCGTTAAAATTTTAAGTTTACATGTAGGAAAACTATCAGAAAAGTCCTAAATTATCGTGTTTTTACAAATAATCATTTTTTTTTCTTTTAACAGGAAATGACATATTTTGATCAATTTCCGCCAAACACCCTTATCGTAATTGGTTCGAGACCGCCAAGCGATTAATCAGCCGTCAAAACCGATTTTTGCAACACTGATTAATATATATATATATATATATATATATATATATATATATATATATATATATATATATATATATATATATATATATATATATATATATTGAAATATTAATATATATTAAATTAAAAAAATAAGGGTTGAAAGTAATTTTTCAAAATAAAAAAAGATATAAGTTGAAAATAAAGTTTAACTAGTAGAAGGGGTAAAGATGTAAAAATTATTACACATTTGAAAAAGTTATTGTCTTTAAATCGAAATGTGAAAATTATGACGTCCGGCCAATCAATTAGGGTTACTTAAAATAAATCAACGTGGTATTGACCTTTAATCGGGTGTTGTTATTAATATAGTCCTTTTTTTTACAAACTACCCAATTTTGGTCTTTTCTAGCCATTATCAAACATAATTTTTAGCTAAGAGATTTTCTACATTGCATAGTGTTTTAATATATAATTACTATTATTTGTATGTTTGTTAATAAAAATCATGCTAACATGTCAGTTAGGTAGGTCATTCTTCAAGTTATTTTAGAGTTTTCACTAAATATGGTTGTTTTTCCAAACACTCATCTTTTTGTTTGTTTGGTCCGACACCAAAGTGACGGTTTTTCAAAATGGTTTGATTGTTGCTTTTATTATTATTATTTTGCTTTGTTATTAATTTTTTTTGTACTAACCTAGTGGTTTATTGGTTTTAATATTTAACTCGCATCCTTTTAACCCGTTTCAAATTTCTTTCATATTATATATATTTAATTTAATAACAAGTGCTTATGTATTTGTCTCCATATCATCATTGTATTATTGTTTTGTCATTAATAAATTTTAAGGGGCTTCATTTTTTGTTTTTGCCCTGGACCTCAAATCGTCTTGGGACGGTCCTGTGCCCGACCTGACATTGTAGCCACTTGTACATTTTTTTCCCATGTGTTGATGTTAAAGAACAAATATATGAGGGCATGTATGTAAAAGTTTAGACTTAATAAGAAAAACTTACATTATGTCGGTTAAGTAAAAACAAATAACACATTATTATGAACATTAAGGAACTTCTTCAATTTTCTAAGAAAACAATCTTCCAGTTTAGTGTGTCATGTTCCATTGTTCAAATCATATACACTATGCAATTTGAAGTTGTTATATATGCGTCATGTTCTTAGCTTTTTTAGGTTGTATTTGTTTGCAGTTAAGGGGTCAGGTTCATATTCGAAATTGAATTCTGATTCCTATTTCGATGACCATGATCCTTAGACGGGATCTATAGGTATAGATGAAGCAAATGCGAGAGTGCAAGAAGAGGGACAAGATGAAGTACAACTTAGCATCAAATAACAACCTTATGAGTTTCTCATGTTTTCTTATTCAGATTTCACCATTTAGAAAATCACATTTCACTAAATGGAAAATGGGTGCCTCTTCTATGTAGTTAAACTAAAATATAAATGGACAATGTTCCAGAAGTTTTATGTTTGGTCATTTGAATTGTATATGTTTAATTATTATTTAAGCATGTTAGTTGAACAATAGATCATATTAAATTTTAATTGCCAACAATCCAAATTAGATTTTACATTGTTAGCATATGCTTTTAACAATTTCATAATAACTATAAGTTAGAAAGACAAATGTTTGAGTTAGTATTGTTGCAGGATTATAATGCTACAAAAAAAAATATTGTTTATATTAATCCTTTGGAATTTCGTGTGGATCTTTACCAAAATTAGCAACTAAAAAAGCATGAAAAGAAATAAATTATCTCATTGACTAAGATTAAACTTTATATCATCTATGATTTTTTATTCTCTGACCCTAACATCAAACAAACTTTTCATTCTACAAAAAAAAAAATAAAAATAGATAAATAAAATAAATAATCGTGTTTAAAAGTCGAGTAAAAATCATCATTATCATATCTATAAAAAAGTGCTCTAATATATTATGAATATATAAAAGGTCAATATCGAAATTCGGAACCATATTCCGTCTATCCTCCCCAAAAAAAATTAACATTTTGGTTTCGAGTTGTTTATAAATTAACATATTTGTTGTTTAACAATTACAATATATTAATAAGTTTAAACTATATTATAAATCAAATATTTGATTTTTTAAATACTTCAATAACTAAGCTTATTAAAACATAGATACAACGATATGCAAACAACAAAGAACGATGGCATTCGATAAAAAGAAACACGACACAATTAAGTGAACAAGTTACGCACGTTATGTGTTTGTGGTTTTTAATAAAACAATACCAGAAAAAGAGTTGTCCAGGAGGTTACGATAATGATATCATCGGCAACCAATCCCAAATCTCCCTCACCCTAAAACCCCTTTTTCCTTTATTTTCGCCGGCGACAAGGTCTTCTCTTGAAACTTCAAAGATCCAGCTTTCCACCAACTCTAGATGGGTCCGCAGTTATTTATCATGAATCACAGAATCAGAATCACACCACATACTTGTTGAATTGGTAAACTGAGAAGAGATGGTGGGCAATGGTAAGCTAGGCAGGTGGAGATTTTCTTTAAGGTCTTCGGCGGCGCCGGCGAAGAAATCGGAGAAGACGAAGCCTCTCGTTGAGTTTATTTGTCCGATTTCTGGTTTATTGATGCTTGAACCGGTTGTGGTTTCCTCTGGCCAGACATTTGAGAAGACATCCGTTGACGTCTGTAAAGACCTTAAGTTTGTTCCAATTCTCGCCGATGGGTCGAGGCCTGATTTTTCGACTGTGATCCCTAATTTAGCTCTTAAGAAGGCGATTCATAGCTGGTGTATGTCGACGGGGGCGGATTTACCTCGGGATGTGGATTATAGCTCCATTGAGGTTTCAGTTCGTAGGATGATGGCTTCTTCCACTCAAATTGAAGGTGATTCGAGGTTTAGGGATTCGGAGACGAATTTGCTTAAAGGAATGGCGGAGAAGCCGCCGGTGATTTTGACGCACGCAGCGACGGAATTGAATCCTCGATCTATTCCTCATCATCATCACTTTTACTCCTCGAGTTCAGAAGAATCGGTGCTCGCGAACGTTCCAGATACTCCACCGCTTCCATTCGTGACACGCCCGTCTTGCTATTCATCTTCTCCTTCCGCTTCAACGTCTTCCGAGATCGTCGTTGACGAAACCCCAGACCCTAACTCATCCACCTCCGACGAACAACATTTCGCATCAAAGCTCCAGAGCCCCGACATTTTCGAGCAAGAACAGTGTGTGATTTCGCTGCGGAAAGTCACCAGGACCGATGAAGAACTTAGGGTTTCTCTCTGCACGCCGCGGCTGCTCTCAGCACTCCGCCAGTGTCTCCATTCGAGGTACGCCACCGTTCAAACTAACGCCGTCGCCGCTCTAGTGAACTTATCGCTAGAGAATGCAAACAAGCTGAAGATCGTCCGGTCGGGGATCGTTCCGCCGTTGATCGACGTGTTGAAGGCCGGAGTTTCCGAGTCTCAGGAACACGCCGCCGGCGCGCTCTTCAGCCTCGCACTGGAGGAAGAGAACAAAACAGCCATCGGCGTCCTAGGTGCGTTGCAGCCGTTGCTTCACGCTTTGCACTCCGACAGCGAGCGAACTCGGAATGACTCAGCTCTAGCTCTATACCATCTCTCTTTGAAACAGAGCAACAGGGTCAAACTCGTGAAACTCGGCGCCGTTTCAACTCTGTTAACAATGCTTGAAACTGGTCTCGCCGGAAGGGTATTACTGGTATTATGCAATCTAGCCGCTTCCAATGAAGGTAAATCATCCTTGCTAGACTCAAATGCAGTCGAATGTTTATTTCGGAAATTGAGAACAGAAAATGTCAACTCCGACGAGTCGACCCGTGAGAACTGTGTAGCGTGCTTGTACTCATTGAGTCATGGAAGCATGAGGTTCAAGGGGTTGGCAAGGGCGGCAAGAGGAGCGGAGGTGCTGCGTGTGGTGGAGGAGAATGGAAGTGAGCGGGCAAGAGAGAAGGCAAAGAGGATGCTGATGATGCTCCGGGAACGGGATGAGGCCGGAGAGAGTGTGGATTGGGATGCTATATTGGAGGGAGGAGTGAGTCAGACTCTGTTCAGAGGGAGTTCGACCCAGTTCTAATGGTTTAGTTAGTGTAGTAGTTTTTTTTTTTTTTTGTTAATTTAATTTGAGATAAAGTGTTTTTGAGTTGTGGTTGGTGGTATGCAATGTTATATGTTCGTTTGGGTGGAAGGAAATAATTGTAAATAATAATTTTTGTAACCCTTCTCTTTGTAAAACACTTTGTAAAGCTTTTTTTAGGTGTTTTGCTTTGAAAATGGTATCTAAGAGGGTGTTTGTTTTTTTTCTGCAGGTCTGCGTGACCTCTTCTGTCTGTGAGGTGCAGACCATGCGCAGACATAATGGTTTGCAGTCTGTTTGTTTTTCTGAAGTGCGCAGACATAAAAACGTCTGCGCGAGGTCTTCACCACACAAATATGGGATAGCATCTTCTAAAGTCTGCAAGCCCTTTAACCTAAAAAAAAAACGCGTCTTTTTTTCTTTTGCTTCCGCCTCCCGTCCTCGTCCAACCCTCCCAGAAAAAACCCTCCATCGTTCGATCGTTCTTCACCTTGCAGCGACCACCACCGTCGCAACCCTCCTCTCCGATCAAAGCCATCAATCGCCGCCTTCCTCTCCGATCCGGCGTCCTCCGATTTTCCGACCATCATAATCGATTGCAGCAGCCGGCGAACAACAACCCTCGATCGATCGTACTCCACCCTGCTCGATCGTCTGCTCGCCGCCGTTAACCACCCTGCTCGCCACCGGCCGGAGACCGTCGCCCCCACAGCTACACCGGAGACTTCGACCTCACAGGTTCGTTTTTTTTTTTCCTGCTGTGAGCTACACGTTTCTGTTATTCCCTTCTACATATATACTTTCTGTTATTCCCTTCTTTGTGTTGCATTGAAGCTATAGTTCAGAATTTATGTTAATTGATGCATAAACATGAGTGTAAACACCACATAGACCAAAAATGATATAAATCAACTACTTATTTGAGCCTCATCTTATTCAGATTTAAAATGATGTATTGATCAAGATTCCACAACAATCTGTTGTAGTAATTGAACAGGTAGAATAAAAAGCCTCAAAAGATTGTTGTCAACTAAATTGTGTAAAATAAAAACATTTGTAATGAAAGTAATTTATCTTTGAATGTGAAATTGGATTTGATTATGTGTTTGTGCTTCAATTAGCAATTGAACCTAGATTGTTGTGATGTGTTTGTGCTTCAATTAGCAATTGAACCTAGATTTGATTATGTGTTTGTGCTTCAATTAGCAATAAAAAGCCTCAACTAGATTGTTGTGATGTGTTTGTGCTTAAATATGCAGTAATTCAAAGTTGTATATATATATATATATATATATATATATATATATATATATATATATATATATACTAGCCGTTACCCGCGCACAGCGGCGGGGACAAATAGCTTCTTTCAACGATAGTTTTAAAGAAAAATGTTATGTTCCAAAAGAAAGTTCATGTCGTGGGTGAGAGGAAGGGCGGTAGTCGTGATAGTGGTTGGTTGAAGGCGGAAGGAGACCGAGCGGCTGTAGTGGTGGTGGTTATAATATCTTGGTTACTGGTTAGGGTTCTTCGAGAGAATGTGCGTATATTTCTTACTTTGAATGGATTACGAAGATAGATATTATGAGATGCCTTGTTACCAATATGAGAGAAGAGATCCTCTATAAATTGTTGACATTGACCGCTTCAAATGGCTGAAGTGTTGAGATTGACGGGTTCAATTTGCAAATGAATTCTTCTATTAATTTGATACGAGATTTTTAGGGGATAAAAGATAGGGTTAAAGTTTTATATTATTATATTATAAATGGGTTGTACTTCAAGCTTAATAGTTTGGACGTCTTAAAAAAATAATATTATTATATTCAATCTATTTATAGAAATAGTTAGATTTCTTTTATAAGTAGTAAAGATATATATATATATATATATATATATATATATATATATATATATATATATATATATATATATATGATTATTGATTGTTTATATTTATATGATAGTGTATATGTATATGATTGTTGATTTTGTATGTATATGATAGAAAGCATCAAAAAGAGACATAAGTTTTGTTTATTTTATAGAAGTAAAGTTTTTTGTCGTTAAAGTGAAGTTTATTTGATTTATAAAGTTTTTTAGAAAACTTTGAATTAAAACACTCTAATTGGGGTTATTTATAATTGAATAAAAAGTTTCACATTATTGTGATTGAAAATCAAACAAAATTACAAATTTGTCGTGAAAATAAAATTTTTTTCTTGAAATAATGATGTTACTTGTTCACTGTTTATTGTTAGTTGGTTATTAGAGATGGGAGAAAAACAACAATGGACCAATGAGCACTTAAAATGCTTATTGGATACTTGTATTGAAGAAGTAGAGAGTGTTGGTAGAAAATGATTGAGTTTACAGAAAGATTCATGGATAAGGCTTGGAAGAGTTCTTAAGGAGAAATTTGGGGTTGAGTTGACTCAAAAACAAATGAAAAACGCATATGACAATCTGAAAGCCAAATACACTGGATGGGTATATTTAAAAAACAAAACCGGTAATATATACAATTCTCAAACAAACACTTTTAATTTAACAGCCGAGGAGTGGGATGATTTTAAGAAGGTACATATACATTAATATACAATAATATATATATATATATATATATATATATATATATATATATATATATATATATAACATTTACGTTTGAAGTTGCCAAATATTCTTATACTATTTCTTGTTACATTTGGGTTTAGGGGCATCCGAAAGCTGCTTCTTTGAGAACAATTCCATTGCCTTTTTCAGATCTTTGTGCACGTCTTTTTGATGGAAATAGTGCTACTGGTAATTTTAGGAGTTACTCAACCCAATCATCATCGGTAGCTGGCGCATCCTCCTGTCGTGTTCCACCACTTCAGATCACCGCCACCCCTTTTGATGCAATGGATGATGATGGTGTTGACACTTCTCATCATGAGCCACCACCTTCTGCTGCTTCACCTTCTGCAGCTTCACCTTCTGCTGCTTCACCTTCTGCTGGTTCACCATATACTGCTACACCATCCGGTAACCCCAACAAAAGGGCTAAACCCTCAACTCCTGTAGCTCCTAGTGCCTCACCGTCTGCTTCTTCACCTGATAGAACTTCTGTTACTGCTGACGATTTAGCATTTGAAATGAAGAAAGCTCTACAAAGTTTGACTAAAGGGTATACAATTCCTCAGTGTTTAGAGAAGTTAGAGGTCCTTCAGTTAGGCCCTACAGATCCTTTACGCTTTGTCGCATATCATATTTTTGGAGGAACCATGAACATGAGAGAGATGTGGATGCATTTGCCCGATGTTCCCGAGATATTACGAGGGTGGCTTGAGATGACGGGTACCAGTTTAGGAGTTTTGAAGGATGGGAAGATTGTTCGATGATTTTCTAGTGTTGAAAGTATTTGTTAAGTCTTTTTGCCCTTGTTGGAACTACTTTGTTAAATGTTTTTGCCTTTGTTGGAACTATTTTGTTAGGTCTTTTTGCCCTTGTTGGAACTACTTTGTTAAATGTTTTTGCCTTTGTTGGAACTATTTTGTTAGGTCTTTTTGCCCTTGTTGGTACTTGAAATATGATTAATGGAATGTTTATTTGATACTTGAAATATGGTTTATGTAATGTTATTTTGGCTTGAAATATGATAAATGGAATGTTTATTTGATACTTGAAATATGGTTTATGTAATGTTTTTTAAAGTTCTACTTTGTTGATTTTAGGTTCATATGGATCACGATCAAAAGTTACTTCTCGTAATTCTAATGTACCTATACATCCGTTATTTTTGGAAGAGGGGTGTGAAACGATTGCGGGATAATGATTCGGAAATGACGGGACACGAATACACATTGGAGTTATTACACCGTAATCGTTTACAATGTGTTGAAGTATTACGCATGTCCCGTGAATCTTTTGTACGACTATGTGCTCATTTTAGAGCAAATTACTCATTAAAGGACAGCAAACATGTATCAGTTGAGGAAAAGATGGCTATGTTTTTGATGATGATCGGACATAATCAACGTTACGTGATTATCAAGCGGAGATTTCAACACTCGAAGCAAACAATTCATAAATTTTTTTATGAAGTGTTGGAAAAAATGATGCTTTTCGCACAAGATGTTATAGTACCAACATCTTTTAATCCGAATCCAAACATTCCAGGACATAATAGGAGGATACGAAGGGTTTTCAAAGGAGCAGTTGGTGCACTTGATGGCACTTTGATACATGTTGTTGTCCCTGCTAAGAAACAAGACTTATATAGAAGTAGGGGAAAGAGAGATTGCTACCAAAACGTATTGGCAATATGTGACTTCAATATGATTTTTACATTTGTTGTGACCAGGTGGGAAGGGGTAGCGCATGACTCTAGAATATTATCAGAAGCAGTAGCCGATCCACAAGCATCATTCCCGTTTCCACCACCAGGTAATTTTTTGTTTTTTTTTTAATATTTTCATTTTAATTTGAAAATTGATTAGTGTTTTGCATTTTTTTCAGACAAATATTATCTTTGTGATGCTGGTGGTTGTCGAGGCCAACACAAATAATAACCCTAAATGTTACACACTAAAATAGTGTATAGTGGTAAAGGGATCGAATCCACGGAGATTGGTTCAATTTCTAACTCTATGAAAAATCTCTTTGTAAAAATACTTGTAAAATAACAATAAAAATAAAATGGGGGGTTTTGGTGTTTTGAATACTTGATGCTAACTAGAATTAACTATGATTTAAATAGACAATTGCAACAAAAATAAGAATTTGATGTAAAATCAATAAGGGAAAGATGGTTGACTTAAAGTTTTCTCACTTTGACTTTTGATGAACATATCATTAGAATTCAATGGTGCAATACTTGTTTTAAATCCTCAATTTGGCTATAGTAATCCAAGGAGCTTGAGATTACCTAGACTTTTCTTAATTGTTGAAATGGCTAGAGAAGCTCATAACAATTTCCTTAGTCAAAGTCACTAATTCCAAATAGCATGTAATTAGTGAAAGTCAACTAGCATTAAGAACCAAAAAGTCACCAAATCCAAGAGGGGTCAAATGCTTTCACCACCATGTTGGAGGAAATGTTTTTATGATTGTGTGAAGTAAAAACAACACAAAAATCATTTGTTGCTTGCTAATTTGAGGATCCTTTACTTAATCAAGAAATTAGCCAACTAATCACCACAAACACATTTAAACTCATGAACTAAAACATACAAGTAATGATAAGATGTTAAAACACAAAACATTTCCATAAAGATTCAAGAACATGTTCATGGATTCTTCAACATTCAACAAAAGTTCAAAGGATTAAACAAAAGTCAACCAAGATTAGTTTAGCCAAGCATGGCTAAACACAAAGAAACAAGTTAGAGAAATTTGTACCAAACATTAAGCAAGAATCAAGAGGTAAAAATATGATGTTCTTCAAGGGTTCTTGGCCTTCAAAAGTCCCAAAACTCCAGAGAGAATCTTCAAAAATCGGGGGTTCAAGAGTATGCAAAAGATGGGCACCAACCTTCCTCAAATAGCTCAAAAGAAGAATTTCCGAAACTGCCCCTGCAGGAGGTTGCGCGACCCGCGTGCTCTTGCGCGGGTGGGTTGCGCGGGTGGTCCCTGATGTAGCATCTTTGAGGTTTTGGGCCTCCATAGCTTAGCCCACTGCCCAGATCGAATCCAATCACCTCCTAGCCCATTTTCTTCAAGTTTTTCTTCATTTAAAGCCCAATTTGACCTCTCTAAATCCTCCAAAGCTCGTGAACTCGCCCGATTAATAATTTTCATACGCTTGAATGTTCCCCCGCATCTTTCAAATTTAAAGCTCAATTCTTCCAAGCCTTCAAGCAATTGACAAGTCCACCCCATGAATCACCTTCATAGCCATCAAGCATGAAATCTCCAATTCCCTTCAAGCCCAATCGCCTCGCAAGAGTGCCGCCCCGCTAGTTTCCAAGAAAATCTGCAATAATGCTCAAGAAACTAGAAAGTACCCCGAAATGGTCATAAAAATAACAAAAGGGAAAATATGCATGAAAGTTAACTAAAATGCGAATGAAATGTACTAAAATAAACTATAAAAATAAGTAAATAAAATGAAGCTATCAAATCACCCCAAGCTTAAACCTTACTTGTCCTCAAGTAAGACAAGACTAAATGAACTTGGGATGAACTACCCTAGAAATAAAAAGAATGGATAGAACCATGGAACCTGTTCGACGTTAGTCAACATGGTCAGAATTGATTTCGTTGCTATCTCACAACTTTTTCATCCGATGACAATGGAACCATAAACCACAGCCAGGACAACTCCTTTAGGTGAGTAAGGAGGGATGAGCAGTCGCAGCCTCAATGGAACATGTATACAATGAAGAACATCTGTAGTAGGGAGAAAGCAACTGGATGGGCTCGGGTGGAGCTCTTCTTTAAGTGTACACTCTGATCTCACGTTTGCCGGTTTCTCTCATGTGTAACTAGGTTTAATCGCTCGGGCACCGTTGTAGGAATCAGTTCACTTAGTGTTGGCCCAAACCTCCCGTAGTATCCGACTCGACAGTCTCTCCAACATCACCAATTTGTGAGAAAGAAAAAAAAATATATCTTGATCTATATACCATAAAACAAATCTATACAAATGAATATCAAACGTCGGGTGACCAAGATGTTGGGAAATTTGTTCAATAATTGAACTGGCCACCTATCTAAGATAGTTGCGACTGAAAATTTGCATGCTTCATTTTGTTTTTGTTTTTGTTTTTTTGTATTTTTTTTTTTTTTTTTTTTTTTTTTTTTTTTTTGTTATTGATAAAACCCTTTGACTCAAAATTTGGTTCCCAAAGGTGTGTAGGTGGAACCGAAAGGGTAATGGTATAATCCGAATGGCCTAAGTGTGGAAATGACCATGTGTGGAGCATAAAGATGTAATGTAAGCTCCTTTTCAAACTTGTGGTTTTTCAAAGATAATGAAGATGTCCAAATGTGGACTAAAAGACTCTCTAAATTCTAAGAAAATCGCAAAAAGATATGGTGATGTAAAGAGACCGGATATGGATTCTACTCGGGGACAAGCACCAATGCTTCATCCTAACAGTTCAAGCATGATCAAGTGTGATCCTCTCCGCGGTAGTGACCGCAAGGCTAAGAACACCCATTGCTATAGTATATCCTACAGTTGTTAGTATTGTATGCATAATTCTTCATGAAACTACCTGGCCATGATCACTTACCCCTTTAAGCTACCAGCATCTGATCCCAAGTATGAAATCCCAAACTGCAGCTAGTGGTCCCGATTCGATGGGTGAGATAGCAACAAGATCCTGGACCAATAATGATACAATAACTGTGAACCTGTTCCATGGCATCCAAGAGAGGTGAGAATAAACAGACAACAAAAATGCATGAATGCTAATGTCTTAAGCTAAATGTTATGCAAAAATAAAAAGTAGAAAAGAAGAAAATAAAATCTTTTTGAAATTTTATATAAAAAAAAAATGAATGCAAATTAACTTAAACTAATATGTTATGCAACCTAACTAAAAATGCATGAAAAAGAGTAAGAAAAAAAAGGGAAATGCCCCACCCCAAGCTTAAGAACAAGCATTGTCCTCAATGCTTAAGGAAAGGGCGGAAAGGACCTAAATCGGAGGGTCGGGCGGCGGGAAATGTCTGTGGCGGTGGTTTCGTGAAATTACGATCGGTAGAACTCTGCCAATCTTGAATTTTCGAGCGAGGTGGGTGCTGGAAGGTTATATGAGAGGAATGTAGTGGGAGGTCAAGATGATTAAATGAAGAAGAAGAGAAGCTGAACATTTTAATCTATGGGTCAAAAAGGGTCAATTTCGGTCAATGTTGGTCAAGAAAAGTCAAAAGGTCAACTCATTAAAACCTTTGGTCAACACCTGGTCAAATAATAGCCAAAAATAGCCCAAATTGCCCAGCACAGTGCGCGGGTCGCGCAGTGTAGCACGCGGGTCGCGCAGACCTTGCAGTTAAGTCTTGGGCCAATGTCGCTTCATCACACCTGGCCGCGCAACCCACCCGCGCAACAGCACGCGGGTCGCGCAACCCCCTGATCCTGATCTTCATTTTTGCTTCATTTTTCTTCGTTTTTCACCCGTTCTCGCTTTGGAAGGCCCCAAAAACCTAGAAACTCTTGATTTCTTCAAAAACAATTCTTTTGAATCCCAAAAGCATCTTCAAAAGTCATTTATTCAAATTAAAAACACAAAAACACAATGCTTTCCAAAAATGCCATTCTTTAAATGAAATTGTTATTGTAAAACATTTTTTTTTATTGTATGACTAATTTGGTTGCATGAATTTTATTTTCAATGTTATAAGACTATTATTATTAAAATTTTGGTGTTGAAAAATCATTTTAAGTTTGTAAAATAATTTTATTTAAAATTCAGTTTATTTCAGCAGCCTGCAGACGTTAAAAAACAAACAGTCTTCTTATTGCAGACTGCAGACGTTTGGTCCACCTCTTCTGCTGCAGAGGCTTGCAGATGTGGTCCGCAGACTGCAGACATTTTGGCTTCAGAAAAACAAACAACACCTAAGTGAATGGTATATTTGAGATATTCAAAGAGAACGTAACAAAAATCAAGGGACTACTCCCACGGTGGGGTGCACGTCAAGCCCCAATGACCACGGAAACTCCATGCTGACTGTTGACTCCCTTAATCAATCGAATCCATTTTGCTTTTGTAAATCGATTTTGCTTTGTGTGATGCGAAATTGCGAATCCATTAAGCCATTGTGAGGATCCATTATTCATATGTAAATCAATTGGTCATGTAAATCGAATCGGAATCCATTTTATATGTGCTTAAATTTGAATCCATATCTCTACTAATTGTAAAATTAATTAATATAATCATTAAAAATTATTTAAAGTAATTATTAATCTAGAATGATTTAACAGTAAATTATATTTTTTTATATTTCTTTTAAAAAAATATTAAAAGGAGAATGCTTATTTCTTAGGCCCCCCCAAAAAAAAAAAGTTAAAGGAAAAATGATGTGGTGTAAGTTTCTACACCGTGCAGTCTAAATAAGATTCTCAAAATTTAAGATAATGATTTAAAAGGATAATATATTTTTTAATTTATACATATTAGTTCACTTAGGTTTTTTTTTTCATCTACATTTACCCCTTCAATTTGTTGAACTGTACACATTCAGTCTTTATGATCGGTTACTCCAGATTAGCCGGGAAAAATGATTTAATAGGGTAATATATTTTTCATTTTGTACACATTTAGTCCTTAATATTTTTCTACACATTTAGTTCTTAATATTTTTTTGTTTCAAAATAATTCATTTTTATTTTTGTACACATTCAGTATTTATGAATGTTTTCTTTAGGTTTTTCTCACGACAACCAAATAATTTCTTTTTTAAATAAGGACTTATGAAAATAATGTCTCATTTTCACAACCAAACAATTTTATTTTTAAATAAGGCAAAACTCTCTAATTATAAATTCATTATTAAAAAAAACGTTTGTTCCACAATACATTTATCGAAAATCAGAGTAATATAAGAAATGCAT